CTAAGTTCTTCTATCCATAACTGTACTTGCCATAAATGTATTACGATCTTCTATTCATAATAAGGGTTGCTCAACTGTCACTGCAGGAGATAGGTACAACAGGATCGTTTCTAAAAGCTGATGGGAGCCCGACAGTGTACTAAGCTCTTCTATCCAAAAACGGTACTATCTATAAATGTACTAAGGTCTTTCATCCATAATGAGGGCTCCGCAACTGTCACTGCAGGGGATAGGTACAACAGGATCGTTTCTAATAGCGGATGGGAGCCCTACAAAGTACTGGGGTCTTCTATCTATCTAGAATAACAACATGCCTCATGCTCGTCTTCTATCCATACCTATACTATTCATAAATGAACTAAGGTCTTTCATCCATAATGAGGGCTGCACAACTGTCACTGCAGGGAATAGGTAGAGCACGGCCGCTTTTCTATGAGCAGATGGGAGCCTGTCACTGTACTAAGTGCTTGTATGCAATGACTGTTACATTGTTGAGACATATATGTTCTATTTAGTGACCTGGGACAGCATAAACCAATAATCTGGGTCAGTTTGTATTGGAGGAATGGGATTGTCCCCAGATTTCGGTTCACTCTTCTTGCTATGCATCCTAACTGGCTGTGAGTTATTTCTGTACAGATCAGCCCCTAGGACAGCCTTAATATCCGTTACTGTACGACAAGCTGGAAGGATTGTGTTAGGACAACCCCCCTCCCCTGCTGTCATCTCCCATTTATCATTCCTGCTCTGCGAGGGGGTGGTTGTGGCAATGACAGGGTTAAGCACTCCCTTTAGCGGGGACGTGTTTCCATTAACCCCCTGGTTGCTGGATGATCAGCTTCACTCTAGAGTCCGTTTATGGAGTGCCTTGTGCAGCTTCCCTACAGGTTGCTCTGCGCACACAGGCAGAGACTGCAGAGAACAAGAGGGGCCAGAAATAGACTGACTGCCTGGGAGCCTGGATTCCACAATGCACAGCAGCTTTTAGTTACAAGGACCTGATGGAATTCATTGCATAGAACCTGAGCTGGGTTCACTTCACATCTGCTCATGAGAAGTGTGACCTGACTTGCCTGAGGACAGAGCAGAGAACAGACTGGAGAGATGCAGATGTATGTCATTCATGCATTGGCCATAGACAGCACAAGAATGGCGCCACATAGCGGCCAAGGACCACAAATACCACATGGTACTTGGTATACCTCTAATCTCTTTTTACAGTGCAGTTGCCTTTGAAGGAACAACAGAGTAAAAAAGTCAGAAACATTCTCAGAAGGGCAAGGTAACTATATATAAGTTCTTGGTTCCAATCCTTAAAGTGTTACTAAACCCAGGACCCTGCATTCATTATATTTGGTCTCCCACAGTACAAACACCATGGAAATGCAATTAGCTTAGTAAATATAAACTGCTAAATACCCTTTCTCATCAGCAGTGTTGTGACTTCAGCTGAGCACTGGTTAAAGCTTGTAGGAGGAGTTTTCATTCTGCTCTAGGAGGATGCAGAACCCCTGACCTCTGTCTGGATAGTGTTGATTGGCCCTGCGCTGATCACATGCATTCTCCCCCCCAAAAAAACAACCTCTCTAGCAATACATTCTAAACTGAGCATGTGCAGAAGGGCTACAGGTTCAGCCTGTTTTATCAGCCTGGACATTTGAACAAGAGGAGGAGCACAGACGTCAGGATCAAACAGCCTTTTTACACTATGCAGAGGATTAACCCTTTGCACAGTGAGTATAACAAGCATGCTTTACTGCATATACAGACTGATTTTACTGTTGCGGGTTTAGTAACACTTTAAGCATAAAGTCTGCATTCCTTTAAACACATGAGCCTCATTACAAGCACCATGGGATCCCTTTTTTGAAAATCCCAGTGCATTAGATTCTGAGTTTGTTCAATATTGATCGTTTCTGCAATTCTTGTTACACACTTTTCTATACTCTTTTTTTTTATTTAGAATAGAGTGTCATTTGTGGTTCAGAGGTCTGCAGCAAGATTTAAAACCCAACTCTAAGCACAACAGAAAATACTACTGTATTGCATCCCACAATGTACTGCGGTTTGAACTGCATCCGATCCGCATGACCTGTGAAATAACATTGCTTCCTATGGTGCCTGTTCACATATGTCCATTGCACTGGCAGTGCGGATTGAAAAAGAGTCTTGTCCGATTTCTGAGCAGTGTGGTCTGGTTCAGGTGCGGATTACAGGCTTTTGACTTTTATGGGAATCGTTTGTAAACCACACATCATCAGTTGTGAACAGGATAAAATCCTGACCTGAACCTGATCTAAACCTGTCCTGAACCTGATGTAAACCTGGCCTGAACCACTGAACAACTACTGTGTCAATTACCTGTGAAACCGCACGTGTGAATCAGATCTCAGGTAAGTGCATTGTTTACGTTTGAGTGCATTCCATCCAGAGCCAATCACTTGTATGTGATTGTTGCATGAGTAATCACATGCGAGTGGGTGCAATTAGCTGCCAGCAGCCTGCCATTGTTTAAAATTGGTCTGTCTACTCACAGCTAATCATGGAAACCCCCACTGAGATTCTCGCATTCCAATTGTCTCCCATTGTAATGTACAGTGCTGAGCAAACTGTTGGCACTATATAAATGCTGTGTAATAATAATAATAATCACAGCTGGGTTGCATTCACAGGTGTAAATGCATCACAAGAGTACTGGAATAAGGAGAAGTACTTAAAGTGGAACTTTGGTCAGAAAATAAAGACCTGCTAGATCACTTCAGGCTGTCCCCTTTTGCAGGTATAGCTGTGTAAAACATTAAAAATAAATGCCTACTTTAAAATCCAGTAACACAGTTTCACCCTGCTCTGTACATGCTCTGTTGTTCTTTATTTTTTGGTGCAGAAAATCAGAGCCACTAAAAGTCGATCTGCTGACAGCCTAAATATTTACTGCTGCTTAGGGGTTTCTGGCTTCAGCAAAATGGCAGCTTCAAGCAAGAGGAAGCAGGAACAATGCTGGAGGCAATTTACAGCACACACTAATTTAATAGCAGAAGTATTAACGTTGAATGTATGTTTCTTGCTAAAGAACATTATTTTTTATAAAGCTGTTATGGGTAAAGTTCGGCTTTAATTTAGTTTTCACTCCAGCAGGGTCCCACCAACAGTATGGCTGGTCTTCCCATCCTCCTAAGTCAACCCCAGCTGCAGTCACAATCCTGCCTCCTCCATGTACAGTACAGGGTTAATAGCCCTGATTGTGGGCAATGATGCTGAGAAGCTTTGATAATAGAAGGAAGCACTGAAGACAAATGTGATCTTGAGTAGTACTGTCTGCTCCCATACTGTAGACCCTAGACATAATAAGCAGGTAACCCTTGCATGGGGGGGGGGTCACTTCAAGTGTAGATTTTTTTCTATTTCATGGAGTTTGGCTTTGAAAAAATGCAGATTTGTAGTCAATCTTCTATTTATGACTGTGATACATTGGACTCAAGCGGGGTTGATTTACTATAGACAAATAGGCTGTCTACTTTGCAAAGGAATTTTTCTTTGGCTAAGTGAGACACTCAAAGAATACCCAATCATATGTAAGGAAAAATAAAATAAAATGTGCTTGCACAAGATTGGATGAAGGAAGTAAGCAGAGCTTCATCTAATTTACTAAGTTAAAGGAAAATTGTTACAAATTGAACAGCCTATTTGCCTTTAATAATTCAACCTCAAATAGTTGAAATAACCATTTACAGTTTGTGCCTTGCTTAGTTATGCATTCATTGTGATAACATATATAAAGGAAATACATTCTTGTTGCTGCTGAGGTAGCAATTAGTTAGCTTCCAATTGTCCTTTTTGTATTCCAGAACTAAAACGGGACCAGGATTTGTTGCTTGCTTGCCACTCATTTTTCCAAATGCCAGTCCTGTACCCTACACACATTGCTCAGTAGAAATGAGTACATCCCAACAGATTTGTCAGAAAACCTTTACTTTCCTTTCAGAATCAAGATTTTCTATGGGACACTATACTACAAAATACTCCTACAAATGGGTTATTGATTGCAAACAAGATTTGTTAATTTGCACAGACAAAAAAATATTTTTCCTAACAAATTCCTTCAAGACCATGTTGCAAAAATGAATACTCCCCAATGAAAGTCTTAAGAGCAAAGCTACATTTTAGATAACAAATTCCTAATTAACAAGAATTCAACTACAGGTGAGTCTAATTATTCATTAAACAGGTGTCCAGTAGACAATTTATTACAAAAGGGCATTACTTGAAAAAAAAAAAAAAACCTTCCCATTTCATGCTGTCAGCTATGGTACCACATGGAAGAGAAATGTCAAAAGGCCTGAGAAAGAAAATATTTTCTTTACACAAGTAAAGGTTTGCTGATCTCCTTGTAGCCTTCAGCTTTCTTATCAGTCAGAGTACTGCAGCAAAAGTGATACAAAAATGTAACAAAGACGGAACTGCAACCATCTCACAGAGACGTCTGGGGCATCCACAGAGGTTAACACCTCAACAGGAGCATCTTCTGATGAGAAGGTTTGAAGAAAATCACCATGCAAGTTCACTGCAGTTAGCTAAAGGAGTAGAAAGCCAAACTGAGGTGATTGTTTCCCGTGACAAAATACAGCATACACTGCAGAGGAATGGCATACATGGGTTTCTTCCATGAAGGAAGCCTCTTCTAAAGCCCATGCACAAAAAATTCCACCTAGAATTTACCAGGGTCCTTGCTGAAAAAAAAGAAGATTATTGGGACTCTGTACCCTGGAGCGATGAAACCAAGATAAATGTTTTTGGAACTGATGGCTTTAAAAATGTATGGCATCGCAAAGGTGAGGAATACAAAGAAAAATGCATGGTGCCTACAGTGAAACATGGTGGTGGCAATGTCCTTCTGTGGGGCTGCATGAGTGTTGCTGGTATCGGGAAGCTGCATTTTATTCCCTGATGTACTGCTCTGTATTGAAAAAGAAGATGCTACCATCCAGGGGTGGACTGACAACTCATGGGGCCCCCGGCCAATAGGGGATCATGGGGCCCCTGTGTCCTTGCCCAAACTCAAAAAAGCCTATGAAAAAGGGACCAGCGGCATCTCATGGGGCCCCCTACTGACCTCGGGCAGTGCCTGAGTTTCCAAATGGTCAGTTCGCCCCTGCTAACATCACTCCCCTTGGTCGTTGTGTACCTTTCCAACATGACAATGATCCAAAACACACATCTAAGGCCACTGTTGCATTTCTGAAGAAGAACAGGGTAAAAGTGATTCAGTGGCCAAGTATGTCTCCTGATCTGAACCCAAACGAACACCTACAGGGAATTTGGAAGAGACAAGTTGAGCATCACTCTCCATCCAGCATCCAGGCTCTAAAAGAGGTCGTTCTTGAAGAATGGAAAAAAATACATATTCCAATATGTCACCAACTTGTTCATTCCCTGCAAAGAAGACTTGGTGCTGTCCTTACAAACCATGGAGGTCATACAAAATACTAAATGTAGTAGTTTTTGTTGTGAGGTGTATTCATTTTTTCATCAACTAATTTGAGTAAAACTGAAGATTTTGTAATCTAAGTTATATTAATAACCTTACTTTCATGTAATGACTAAACAAATGTCCTATAAAACTCAGTTTTTTCAAAATGTTTGAAATTGTCCTTGTGTTCATTGAGCTATTGATTAAAATCTTGCTTTTCAAAAGGGGTGTACTCATGAGCACTGTAGCTAGAAAATGCACTTTCTTGAAAGCCCCTGTCAACATAATACTTAATCAGTGCAGCATGCATACAGGCTGAATATAAACAGAGCAATTTTCACTCTACACTAGATCTGTAAATAGCTCTTAAAGCATAGAAAAAAGAGGTTACAATTTCAAAGGTAATTGGTGTCCGGGGATATAATAACAGTAATAAAATATATCCTGAGATGTGAAAACAGAGGTAAAACCATCAGAGTTCTTGCTACTTCTCTTTTTTAACATCCTAAAACATTTTAAGGGTTTAAGACATTTATTTTTCCTTTCCTGAACATCCATAGAGAAGCCTTTATATGTGTCCTTTTAACACACGTCTAAAAATTCTTCTTTTTGATCTGTTAATATTATAAGCGGCATCCATGGGGAACAAGTTGGTAAACATCAGTTTCTAGGCAGCAGCAGGGACTGTGTGCATAGCACATTCCAGAGAATGAAAAGCACCACTGTTCCCCAACTCTCCTCTGCACTATGAAGGATGTGCAAGGAGACATACTGACTGACCCTTAGAAAATCCAACAGTCCAGACCTTTATACAGTACAGTTGTCTAGTTCCGTTAATTAGTCACTTTTGCTATAGGAAGCCCAGACATATCTTGTACAGTATCTCTTGTTTTCCATACCTTGTCATAGCCTCTGTTTTCTCTGATCTTTATTGACTGTGAGCAGTACCTTCTGTCCAACAAAAATAAACCACATATTAGGCAACACCTTGGCTATTCTACAACACAACAGAGTGCACTATTTAACATTTTTTTTTTTTATTATAAGGATAACTTCTATTCCTTTCATTACAAAGACAAACAGAAGAAGTATGTTAATGCACTTTCCTCAATCAATAAGCTTTGTAAACATGTACAGATGTTGTCTTTCCTCGATTTAAACCACATGGAGGTTTCCAATAACAGGTCTTCTAAGTCTACATATGGTAGATTGGTTAATTCATTTCCAGCAGTATTTTTACATCTGACACTGAGCAAATTATATTATTAATGGTTATACAGAGTGCAAAAGAAGCAGCATTTCTATCAAGTTCCTAAAGCGCACCTTAAAGTGATATTAAACCCAAAAGCAAACATTTATTGCAGCTTATCATTTCTTAGATGTGATTGCTGCATTGATTTTCTTTTGTTGCCCCTTTCACATGGGGCGGATTTCACAGGGGATCTGTGCACTGAGCAGAGCGGAGTGGGAGATGACAGGTCAATGTCCACTCCCCTTATGCAGCATGGATACGAACACAAAAACTATACAAAAAAGGGAGGGAATAGTCAATACCCTGACTGCCTTATCACTATATAAGTGTTGCTGTCTAAACTGCAATTAAACCAGAAAAAAACAAAATGGATATGAATGGGCGGTTAAATGAAAGCAGACTGACTTTCCATTTTCACCCGACTGCCCTCCAGTCCAAACCGCCCAGATGGAGTGTAACTGATCCCTTTCTGTTTGTTTTTAGCAGATCAGATTGGATTGGATGTAGGAGGGTGTAAACAGACAAGTTCACTCACATCCACCGCTCCATAGAGAAGAATGGAGGGTCCGATTTGGTCCACATGAAAAACGGACAGGAGGACAGATCGGACTGCTCGTGTAAAAAGGAAGCTTATGCAGGTCATACATGGGTTGAATTCCCAACAAATTTTCTTTAGAAAATCTGAAATTTTTTGTGTGTTTTGTACCCCGATGGTGCCACCATTGATTTCGAACTTCAACCAACCAAGCATTTCATTTCACCTCATGTTGCTACAGAAAATAATTTTCTTCGCCAAGAATTTTCATTTCTTTCCAGGTCACAGCTCACGCTCACTTCTTTTTCGATTGTATTTCTCACACAATTCTCATTGATTAGAAATTCACTCGTTTTCAATGGTTGCTCACAAATCGGCTGTTTCTGTGGCCCACTAATGGTGTGAAATTCAAACGAAAATTGTTAGAAACGATTTTTCGAAAGAAAATTATTTTGCAATTCAACCCATGTATGGCCAGCTTTATTCTTTCTTCTATTTTAATCTGGTGATCTGGCTAGTAAGTGTGTTGTTTTTCAAAAGAACAAGTTCTCCAGCAGAATGTATCTGTTTACATGGATGAGACAAACCATTTAACACAGGAGTGGGTAAAATGATCAGCTTTTATTTATGTATGTTAAACTTTTATCCCAAAAATTAAAATAAAAACTGCTGTACCTGCTTATGAAGTGTGAGCTGGGGTTTGATTTCACTTTGTTAGTATATCTAAATTTGCTAGTACATGTACCACTCCCCTCCCCCCAGACTGACAATGCTGCTATCCAAAGGTGCCCCCTGTGCTCATTTCTCCAGAGTGGAGACACTCTAATACAAGAGGTGTGTTACTGACCAGATCACCAGGTAAAAACAGAGGGGGAAAAAAGACTAAAAAAAGAAAACTAATACAGTCATCACATCTAATCATATTGCATTAACAATCCCTTGCCACTTTCCACCAACCCATCCCTACCACCCCCTCCTCTCTCAAAAGTAAAATTAGCTTTTTGGGTTTTTTTTGATTACCTTTCATGGGTAATTCTCCCCATGTTATATGTTTTTCCCTTGGTAAGAATAAAGTGTCACTTGCCCACAGCCTCCTGGGATACTCACATCACACATCCTAGGAGACCATGGAGTATGCTACTGCATGTTATCAGGGGGCCAGCTGTTTCTTCCTGGTAATTGCAGTCTTGCAGACACCTAAAAAGATTATGCAACTAACCTGCCAAGTGGTATTGACTTGGAACTATGCAGGTGCCATCAAATTAGAGGTCAATCAGCCACAGATAAAAGAACCCCTAGAAACCTCTGTAGGAATCCCAGAGTTTAACTGAACCCTGATTGAGAATGACTGCTTTATAGTCAGTATTAGTGTTGGGCATAATGTTCGAGTTGAACATAAGTTCAACTTAAACATCGGCAGTTTGTGTGTTCGGTGAACACATAAACAGAAAGTACATTCGACAGACTATTCCCCCGCCGCACCCCACAATGCACTGCGCTCTGACAGTGCATTGTTATTGGCGAAAGCAATGCACCTAGCCACATGTCAAGTGCAATGCTTTGGCCAATCACAGCGCATGATGATGTCACAAGGGGTGGGGTGACACTGCCCCCTTGTGACATCATCACAGTATTTAAGAACTGTCATCTTGGCGCAGCTGTCAGATGGTGGGTGCCAGCGTCAACAGCGTAGCAGTTTTTTTTCCTTTTTTCAGGTCAGCAGTGGCGGCGGGCATCGTGCTTGAGGTTGGATCTACTTCGGGGGACATTTTTTAAATGTTTATTAATAAAGGATTTTCTAAAGACTGTCTTCTCTCATTTTTTGCACTACATTTTTTTTTGTGAATGAGTAGCGGTATCATGTACCCCATACTCATTCACATAGGTGGGGCCGGGATCTGGGGGCCCCGTAGTTAAAGGGGGCTTTCATATTGTGATAGGCCCCCCACCTGCAGACCCCCAAAACCACCTGCCACCATTGTGGGGAAGAGGCCCTTGTCCCCATCAACATGGGGGCAAAGTGCTTTGGGGAGGGGGAAGCCCCCTGCCCAAAGCACCCCCCTATGTTGAGGGCATGTGGCCTGGTATGGTTCAGGAGTGGGGGCCCTCTTGTCCCCCCCCCCTCCTGACCTGCCGGGCTGCATGCTCAGATAAGGATCTGGTATGGATTTTGGGGGGACCCCACGCCATTTTTTTTTTAAACCCCACTGACAGCTGAAACATGAAAGAATGTTTTCACTACTAAAATACCACATGACTTAATAATATAACTCATGCAGTATTTTAGTAGAAGTGCGGTATCTCATACTCAGATGCGGTAAGATACCGCTCAGTGAATTGTTCCCTCTGTTCGAAGTTCGCAGTCGAACGGCCCCAAACTGAACAGGAGGGTGTTTGGCCCATCACTAGTCAACATTAAGGGATTGCTATGTATGCAAAAACTGTGATGTGATGTATCTAAAGCTAGTCATAGACATTAGGGAATGATCAGATACACATGAAGAATCTTACCTCTCCTGGACTGGTTTCTAGCAGGAGCACAAATACTCCTGTTTAGAGCAATGGTAAATAAGGGAGAGGAGTTCAGAAACAACTTCACCACTGGGGAAAATCATAGTGCTCAGACAATCTTTTCTAACTGGATCCCCAAAAATACTGATTTGAGGCTGAAAAGCGTCCCGTAGACACATTGAATCATTGCTTGATCCAGCCATCTACTGTCTATGGGCATCAATACAGTCTAATCCTTGACTGACTAATTTTTCCTCAATTTCACAATTATTCTTGCTCAAACTCAAGAGATACGCAAGGTTTACAAGTTCTGGAAGTTCAACAGAGGTATGCAGGTTGCGTTAT